GCCATTCATTGTAATGGTATATTGATTGGTGTCAAACATTCAGTAGAAAATCAAGCTATTATAGTAACATAATTATATCAAATTGTTATCTTCCCCTCTTTAATGAGATAAAGTGATAAAAATGTCACAGTGAAGCTTATCTATCAGTTCAATGCTAGAAGCAGTTAAAGACATGCCAACACTGCCAGTATAGAGCCATAAGGGTAAATATTTCAATTTTTTTTTTATCAGAAATGGCTACATCACAAGGATAGAACAGAACAGAACATTAAACTTTTTATTTTAATATTAATTTTAGAAATGAGCCAACATTACTCCTATTCTATACAAACATGTATGTATAATAATCAAATGGTGAAAATACATAATTATATGAAGTCTACAATATCATTGATATGTTGTGAATCTTGCATAAACATCATCTAGATATAGAGCCAGGTCAGGCTAAACATCTTGCCATTTGACCAAATAAATAAAACTGCACAATCAGACATACCTACATTACAGGTATAAAGAGTCAATTATTTTTAAATCCTAGGATTTTCTCTGAATTCTACCAACATTTAGTTTGAATAATACATGTATTAATGTTGACATAATGTTGATAGTTGGCAATCAATGTATCATGAGAGATGTCAAGATGTAATGTGTTACTTTCTCAGACGGCTAGCAACCATTTTAAGTGATTGATATTGAAATTATTGTAACCGGCAAGAGTGACTTGAAAATAGATGATGAATGAAACTTTAAATGAAGAGGTCAGGATTCTGTGTTTTGTTCTTTCTTGTTAAAAAACAAAGAGAGGAAATTTAATGATAATTTAATTAGTTGACATTTAGATATTATGTCAGTTGGCAAGGAGGTGAATTATAGCTGAATCAGCAATTTAGAAGCAAGTATCATAATGGTAACACAGCATTTATTTCATGCCAAAGGAAAAGTCAATTAACAGTGATATTTTAGGTAGGTGCTTTGGACAACAGATCTAGGGTTTCTGAGTCCAATCACACTTTAGTATACTTTCAAGTATTCTGGAAGAGCCATCAATTTAAGCAAAGACCTGAGTAATTGCATTCAATATCTTGCTCATTAAAGAACAATTTGTTTCTACTGGAGTGAAAAAATCATGGTTTTCCAAGAAATAACATGAACTTTCATTGTCCAAAGGCCATGTCATTATAATAAAAAAGAATATTTTTGTCTGTATCAATGTTTCCAGTGGCAACTATAAATAAATAATTTAACACCACATTGAAAAGGCACAAGCCACAGTGGTAACGTGCTGGACTAGTAAAATAGAGGTTGCAGGTCAAATTCATTTGTCCACCTCTAAAATAGTCTTCATGATGGGACCTTTAAAACAGAGGTTTCATGTTTCAGTGCTCTACACCTGGCATGTAAAAGAACCAGTTTTCTCATGAATGGGGCAACTGTTATTTCGTGAGCAAAGGAAAACAAAAAAACCCCCAAAAACAAGTAACTCTTTTGTCTGTCTGGACAAATAAAAATAAACCAAAACATTATTATTTAGTATGAATAAAATAATTGAATAAAGAAGCACATTTTTTATATACTAAGTCCATGATGGGATTATAGAATTTCTAATTTATTTCATTGACATTGAAGAAAAACTTGAGTCCATGCTTGTGCTTAACTGGACCTTTAAATAGAAGCATAAAATCTTGAACCTGGAACAAGATTTATTTTGAGAAAATTGTTGAAAATTTTCTATTTTTATATCGAGGAACAGATTTTTATGTGCACATGTTTCAATGAGGATACAAAGAAAGCTGGAGATTTTTTTTTATAAGTGAGGGGGAGGAAGATGGATGAGGAAATAAAGCAAGGAAAGCCATTCTTTAGTGTTAAAATTGTACAATGTTTCACAGATTTTATCTGAGGATATTGTTGTAAGTGCTTGTTAAATGCTAGAAGATTATAGACCTCGGGCAGCAATTCTGTGCTGTGAATTATTTCAACTGCTTCACAAAAAAACTGGATAATCCACTTTAGATTAATCTGGAATGACTGACAAGGACAATCTGGGAGGATTTTTTGCTGGAATATTGGAAATCTTTGTGATTTGGTTAAGGGAAAGGCTTATAAAAAGACTTGGCTTGGAAAAGAAATTTAAATAATGCATTTGACATAATTTAAAATGTATAGTTCATTGACATGAAAAAAGGTTTTCATTTGACAAGGTAAAAAAAATGTCAAATCTGTAGACATGATTGATAAAGGCTTGCTGTTGACATCAATTCTATTGACATGAAAATGTTTGCATTTGACATTATTAAACACTTTCAAATCAATTGACATGAAAAATTTAAGGTTTGCATTTGACATGATGAAAGTTTTTTCAAATCAATAGACATGGAATACTTAGCTTGATGTAGAGTGAAGTCTTTTGTATGATATAGGTAAATACACTGTTTTATTTCACAGCTTATTTGAGGAAATACAAATATAAATATAATTCATTTTGCAGCCCATGTGGCTTCCACTGTTAAGAGACAATATATAAAGTATCATTCAAATCACAGAATTGTTCTTGGAAATAAAACCCCAACAAATTAATCAACATAAATTTTTCAATGCATGAATTGTTTTAAAGTAACTTGCATTTTAATACTTTTATAACCATGGTTTAGATGACAATACTGGAAATATTTCATTCCTCTCAAATGTCAGCAGTCTCCTATATAACGTCTGCTACATAGATAACATTTCTCATAGAGACAGTTCATTTAACACCAAAACTAAATTGTGATCTTTTTTTCTGCATGGGAGATAATTAACATTTCATTTCATTTATTTATTGGCAATCAGCAATACATTTGCCTTTGGCCATTTACAAACAAACAAAAAACTTATGGCAAAGACTATTATATACATAACTAACATAGATAAATAATGAAGTACAATATACGATCAGAAGACAGGTAAACTTTCAAGGGTATTTTGACGTAAACATAATGCTTCTTTTATATACTTTGCTAGATTAAACATATATTTTTTACTTTTATTTGACATCAATGCATTGAACTTTTGTAAAGTTGGCCATGAACTGTGGCCCAAATATTTTGATCTAATACTACTGTAACGTGAGCAACACATAACAAAATGATATTCTGACTCTACTGCATTTTGGTTACATGATAAGTTTGCACAATCTATTACTTCTTTCAATATTATTATATCTTCCTAATTCTATATCTAAACTATGTGAGCACAATCTTAAGCATGTCAAATGCTGCCTTAGCTTATCATTCAATATAACATCCAAGTACTTTTCAAAACAAAATTCAGTTTTATATTTGCAATAACAATCTAATTTTGACATAGAATTAATATTTAAACTCCATTCTTGAATAAATTGATCTCGTATTCTAGATTTTATCAAAAGGTAATAATTAACCCTAGGATCAAATGTTAACCTTATATCTGAAAAACCTAAATGATCTATAATAGAATTCATTCTACTAGCCCAACTAGAGGTACTTACATTATTACATAAATCATTAAACATTTGATAAATAGGTAAATCATTACTTTTCATAATTTTCAACCAAAATTTAACGCTTCTTTCTCTACATATAACTGACAGAGGCACTCGGCCGAGTTCACCATATACCGCATATGTAGGAGTTTGTTTCTTCACGCCTAATATATTTACAAAATCGAATATGTAATTTATCTACCTCTTTATAATTATAAGCACCCCAAACTTCACATCCATACGTTAATATAGGGACAATCATAGTATCAAAAAGAGATAACTTGGTACGAATATCTAGACTAACATTATCAAAAACGTTTAGAAGATTATTATACGCCCTAAGAGCTTGCTCATGCAGTGCTTTTACAGCATTTACAAGAGTACCTAAGTGTAAGTAAACTTGATTCCAAGATAAACAAAATTGTCAACAATTTCAATTTTTTCGTTATCTATATAGAAGTCAGGATATACAGTTTGTTTTCTCTTTTCAAAAACACAAATTTTTGTTTTACTAACGTTTATTTTCAAACCCCATTTTTTAGAATAATGTTGCAAAGCATTAATTTGAGCCTGTAGGCTATTTGGATCTGTCGTAAATAATACAATATCATCAGCAAATAAAATCATATACATAGACAAAAGTTCAAAGTCCCTTTCAGTCAAAGCATTAAAATCCAAATTTTCAGAAATATCATTGATGAAAAGTAGAAAAAGTAGAGGAGACAAAGGTTCTCCCTTAACAAATACATCTTTAACTGTCGGAACTCAGACTTGTGATCAGCAAATGATATAAGTGACGTTTTGAATGACAAAAAATAACAACAACAAACAACAATAACAAACAACTTCCTGATTTAAAGTTGAACCCTTTAACCTGCTGTAATTCTGAAATAGACTTGTCCAGTTTCTATTTTTGAAACTTGAACAGACAAACAGAACAAACGGGCACCTAATTAGAACCACCTATGTTCTGTAAGCTAGGTGGATAGCTTCCTCACATGAAAGAATCTAAAGTCCCTTTCGGGATTCGAACCTACAGTGGTGAGAGGCAAGTGGTTTGAAGTCGTTGACCTTAACCACTTGGCCACAGACGCCCCTAGTTTTGACTTAATGAATGGTTACTGTAATGTAAATAAAGATCACTCTATTGTGAATAGTAGTACAAAGTTCATTAATTTTGTACTAACCAATACTCCCCCCCACTCCCACTCTGTCCGGATTAAATGAGGAAAACTCACATTTGCAGTCCAGATAAACATCTACTGACTTGTGAATTTGTGTAAAAGAGTTGTCTTGACTTTGGTCAATTGTATTTTCAGGGATTTCATTTCCAATTTTTAAGTTGTTTGAGCATGCAATGATAATGTATTTAGTTTTACAAATTTGAATAAGCCTAAAATTTACTTGATTTTGAAATTATTGTTCTAGAAATTTTTTTATTTTTTTGTCATTGAATGTTACATATTATTGTAACCATGATCCTCAAATTGTATATTTTCAGATTTGAAAAGGGAGGCAAGCATATGTCACATGTTAAAACATCCTCATATTGTGGAACTATTAGAGACATATAGTTCTGATGGCATGCTGTACATGGTGTTTGAATAGTAAGTACATTTATATGCAAGAGTTGTGGCCCCTTTATGACAGGAATATTTTCTTTTACCATATTTTTCAGATGAGCATACTAGTAGCTGGTTGGTTTGTCTGTCCATCTGTCCTTCATTCTGTTAGTCCAACTGTCCTGCCACACTCACATCTTCTTCTACCATATTTCTCTTCTTGGCTCAAATAGCGCCTTCACCTGTCAGCCAAGCTGATTATAACTGTCCTTCTGTCACACTAGTCTTACTGCACCTTCACCTACCATCTGTCCTTCATTCTACCCTGTCACACAGCACCAATAATCTGTCCTTCATTTTATCTTTCTGTTACACAGCACCTACCATCTGTCCTTCTATCCTTCCTTTAAACCTTCACCTTCACCTACAATCTCTTCTTCCTTGTGTTACTCTTGTAGCACCTACATCTACCATCAGTCCTTCATGCTGATAGATCTTCCTACTCATCACCATGGTAGGCTCATGTTTAAGCTTTGTCAGAAGTTACATCAGAAGTATTCTACATGACTTATTGCTTTTTGCAAAAAGTTCTCCTTATTTCTCCCAGCTATAAAAAGCAGAAAATTTGCCGACTAGAGTTACTGCCCTTTATCTTCTTATGACATCTCATAACATCTTTTAATTGCAAAAGTTTAATATTGATCTATATAAGAACTTAATGTTTGTCATTACAGCAGTGTATTGTAATGTCTGGAAAACACGTCAAGTAAAACAGTAAACCTTAGTGCTAGCCATTAAATTTAAAATAAAAAACAATACAAAATTTGTCTCCTAGCTCATTTTAATACCTTCTCACAGAAATTAATGGTAAGATATTATGATATAGAGTCAGTAAATTGGCTACTGTATATTATACGGAAGTGGAGGCGTAGATGTCAACAGTTTTTCCATACTTTTTTAGTACACCATGCAGCTGGTTCTTGTATTAGAGGACTGATTTATAAAAGATGAAAATTAATGAGAAAAGTCTAGACACAGCTTAAACTGCTGCAGGGTTTTAAAACTAAACGATAAATGCAAAACTAATGTATCTAGATTCTTTGTTTATATGGAAATAGACTTGTTTAGCGTTGACTCTGAAGTAATAATGAATAGAGGATGATACATTATATAACACTATTGTCAACATGTCCTGGTGTGGGTATAATTGTAAAATAATTTCCATTCAATTTTCACAAAGATCTGAAAGGTAGTTAATTGATTGCCAACCTTTGATTGTGTTCGTACAGTGTATTAAAATTTGATTTTCACCTTTGAATATTAAAGGGTAATTCACCTGTGCACATTACAGGTAACCTCGTGTATTAAAAATAGTGCCATTCATGGAGCTTCCTATTCTATAAATAACTAATTTATCTTTAATAATATATGAATAATTTCAATAGATTCATATTCATCTCAGGTTTTCAAAACCAAGGTTATTTTCCAAGGCAATATTCAGAAAGCTATCTCTAAAAGGTACCATAGCATGGTATATATTAAATTTTAACAGCAATTGATTCAGAACATAATCTGAAAATCATCTATCAATTTGTTTATACTATTGACAGAATAAACAATAATATGTAACAAAATATTGAGAGAGAAAACAATAGCGAAGAACAATTATCTGCTTTTTATATGCCCGAAAGGGCATATTATGTTATACCCCCTGGCGTCCGTCTGTCTGTCTGTCCGTCCGTCCGTCCGTACGTCCGTCCGTCCGTTAGCAATTTGGTTTCCGGAGCATAACTTAAGTTCCATTTGGCCCACAATGTTAAAACTTCATAGGATGATTGTCCATATTGGGTAGAAGACCCCTATTGATTTTGGGGTCAAAAGGTCAAAGGTCAAGGTCACTATTACCTTAAAACTGAAAACGGTTTCCGGAGCATAACTTAAGTTCCATTCGACCCACAATGTTCAAACTTCATAGGATGATTGTCCATATTGGGAAGAAGACCCCTATTGATTTTGGGGTCACAAGGTCAAAGGTCAAGGTCACTATGACCTTGATACTGAAAACAGTTTCCGGAGCATAACTTAAGTTCCATTTGACGCACAATGTTCAAACTTCATAGGATGATTGTCCATACTAAGTAGAAGACCCCTATTGATTTTGGGTCAAAAGGTCAAAGGTCAAGGTCACTATTACCTTAAAACTGAAAACTGTTTTATGGAGCATAACTTAAGTTCCATTTGGCCCGCAATATTCAAATTTCATAGGATGATTGTCCATATTGGGTAAAAGACCCCTACTGATTTTAAGGTCAAAAGGTCAAAGGTTAAGGTCACTATTTCCTTAATACTGAAAACAGTTTCCGGAGCATAACTTAAGTTTCATTTGGCCGACAGTATTAAAATTTCATAGGATGATTGTCCATGTTGGGTAGAAGACCCCTATTGATTTTGGGGTCAAAAGGTCAAAGGTCACTTGTACCTTAAAACTGAAAACTGTTTCCGGCGCATAACTTAAGTTCCATTTGACTCACAATATTCAAACTTCATAGGATGATTTTACATATTGATTGTGTGGAAGACCCCTATTGATTTTGGGGTCACAAGGTCAAAGTTCAAGGTCACTATTACCTTAATACTGAAAACAGTTTCCGGAGCATAACTGAACTTAAGTTCCAATTGTCCCACAATGATCAAACTACATAGGATGATTGTCCATATTGGGTAGAAGACACCTATTGATTTTGGGGTCAAAAGGTCAAAGGTCAAGGTCACTATTACCTTATAACTGAAAACAGTTTCCAGAGCATAACTTAAGTTCCATTCGACCCACACTGTTCAAACTTCATAGGATGATTGTCCATATTGGGTAGAAGATTCCTGTTGATTTTGGGGTCACAAGGTCAAAGGTGAAGGTCACTATTACATTGATACTGAAAAATATGTTTCCACGCATAACTTAAGTTCCATTTGACCCACAATGTTCAAACTTCATAGGATGATTGTCCATATTGGGTAGAAGACCCCTGTTGATTTTGGGGTCAAAAGGTCAAAGGTGAAGGTCACTATTACCTTGATACTGAAAACAGTTGCCGGAGCATATGTTAAGTTCCATTTGGCCCACAATGTTCAAACTTCATAGGATGATTGTCCATATTGGGTAGAAGACCCCTATTGATTTTGGGGTCAAAAGGTCAACGGTTAAGGTCATCCTTACTAAAAAAAAAAAATACTTTCGGGCATATAATGCTCCGCCTAGCGGTGCTCTTGTTAAACTTTTGAGTTTCATAAAAATATATATACATATTTATCATAGTAAACTTGACTTAAATAAACCGCTATTGCATTGGTCCCGACTTTTGTTTTCAAATTGATTGCCTCTAGGGTATAACAATATCTGGACATAATGGTATAAATTTTGTAGTCCCCTAATATCTTTATAAGCGAAGTTTTCTGAAGTTACAAACCATCTTATTTTTGTCTTCAAACTTTCTTGGTAAAAAAAAACAGAAAGAAGAAAAATCATTTACATTATCTGACTTGAAGCAGTCAGTCTCACATTTTGCAAATACTGGAATAAATCACTATACAGATGTTTTTTTTAAGAGATAAGTAGATTGTCTCAAGGGAGATATATTTTTTGTAATGTCTGTAAAATAAGGAGACTCATTTACAGTCTATCTTCCCATTCTGCTCCTGGTAATCAACTGGTCAATGAATTCAAATGAGCTCTCATTAATTCTCCTTCCTTCCTGTAAATGGTCTGCTTGGTGAAGACCTGCCATAAGCTATTTACAGTTGGTAAACTGTATTATACACCAGTCTTATAATTGTAGCAATTAGGACCTCCCTCCCCAATGGTAGCATGGATTTTGAAATGGATTCTCAAACCCAAGGAAAAGGCCCCACTGACGCACTGACTGTTAAAGGACAGTCAGATGGTGTAAGGTGCTAATTGCTCCCCAATTTGCATGTTTTGAGATATATTTTGCTATTTTGACTTTTTCAGTTGATAACTGTAATATAACAGTAAAATATATTATGATAAATTCCCTGCAGCCACACTGACCTGTCCCCTGGTGTGATAAAAATTCTTGTTTTTCCTCAAAATGACATGAATAATTATTCAAAATTCATAATTAGGTTGTTGGTGCCATGTATATTTTCCCAATGAACTCCAAAATTGTGTTTAAAATAATTCTAAAATCTTAATTGGGCTATTGTTTGGAAATAACTCTGCTGTAAGATGCCTATGTTATGGCTGCAATAACATTTGTTATATCATCATTTTAGTCATAATTATCCCATCATAGCACCTGTTAAACAATTAAAGTTTAATAAGTTGAACAATTTAACAGTGTTCTAGCATATATTACACCTCTTCAGTAGCAATTGTTTGTTCAATTATTTTAAAAGTTAACTTCTGTATCTGTATCTGTTCAGGTACGTAGAAGCATCACTTTCTGCTATGATTCTACGGGAGGAGGTTCAGAAGTTATCTGGGAGGGATTGTTTAAAGCCCTCGACTGTCTGTGCACACACAACACTATCTTGCAGATGGTTCCAACTTACTAGCATTTCCACAAAGAATGAGTTTTTAAGTTGATTTGTGTGGGCATTAGGTATTACATAAGAACGAGAGTTATTACAACTATGACAATCTAAAATGTTCAACTTTAGAAAAGACTCATGGTTAGAAATATATACAAAGTATTAAAGACACAAAAAATCTATTTATCTATAAGATAAAATTTGTTGCAAATAAAGAAATACATAAAGATGACAGCAAAACTTAGATCATGTCATATTTTATTACAATGTTTCTTGAAATAAAATATCATAAGAAGAAAAACGATAGCACTAAAATGGAGCATTTTGACTTGTATGAATGACATTTTTATTCAGTGTTTCAAGAAATTGTGAATTTCTTTTGACGTAACCTATTATTACCAGTTATTCTAGTAAATTGTGATTGTCTGGAGTTAGTATAATGGAATATTATGATAGAATAGATATCCTGTAATAAGCTGTAAATCATAGCTCTGTAC